CTGCCACCCTCATTCAACGGTCAGACCCATCATAGGTTGTATCCGGCTGCCTATCGGCCATTCAGGGCTCAACATGATTAGACGAGACGACGTTGACCTTTGAGCAAGCACAGCTATGTAATCGGTCCGCGTCCGACAGCCAGAGGCTAACTTTCACGGATCGTCGGGATTCAAGTGGGTAAAGCGGAGATCGGCAAGATTCGGAGCGGGGGTTTTCGTGTGAGGTGTGCGTCGCTGCCTGAAAAGTCCTTGTCCCGCCAGATCCCAGGTTGATCATAGATCCGAGGTTCGAAATCATTACGCAATCCGTGCTGAGATACGAATGAAGCAAACTTTTCATCAATCTTTAATCAACAGACATCCTGATTGACAGGACCTGCCCGCAATGTCCGCACACTCGAGACAGCCCCAGTCGGCGATCCTGCTCAATCGGTTAGATCTAGAAGCACTTGGGGCGTCTGTGCCAAGTCAATGTATCGTAGTGTAGCCTCCTGCAGGCTAAAAGGCTTCACAGTCGTAGAAATTTTGTGATTCCTAAACTCGCATTCAGGGGTGCGTTCGCTTTCCAAACTCATCGCGCGTTCAGAAGTACTTTCTTAACTCAAACGCAAAGTATCTGTCCTGCATGTAAAGGGAGTCTGGGAGGATGGAGCGATTCCATGTACATAGAGGGCTTCGACGTAAAGCTTGCTTGGGTCTGTAGATCTTGTGCATTTAGCAGCGTGTTCTGAGCATGCATTCGAGTGCGTTTGGTGCGCTCACGTTCGGTGCGTTCGCGTTCTGGTGCCCGGGATGACGTGGAACGTCAACGGCTTGACCTTGATGGCCGACACGGAAGGGTGAGCGTGCGCGCGACTAAGAATGGGAATCATAGGTTCATGTCAACTCCAGTCGGCCTAGTCCGCTGAAGTTTAGAAGGCCTCATGCAAGGTACCCGTTCTTACCGGACCTGCACGGCAAAGCATCACACGCATTCACAAGCTCTCGCGTGAAGGTTCGACAAAGCAGGTCTGGAGCCAAAGACATCCATCAGCTGCCACGCGGTCCGACGCTAAGCAAGCAGATGATGACAGTAGTATGTCTCAGTATGTGACCCAAAGGGCGGCTGCCCGAATCTTCTTGAGGTCGCAGCTGGGCCACTGGCTTCTGTGGGGTGGGGCCCTCGAGCTCGAACGTTAGTGAAGAGCCGGACATGGTAATACTCGCGGGGCTCAGCCTGACGAGCAGCAATCCGGAACTCTGGCAAGTGCGTATGGGAAAAGCTGGCCTTCACTTCCTTCCAGGATAGTGCTACGAAGCCAGTGCATTTCAGTGACCCGACTTCGGCCCGATACATCCTGAACTCCGTTGCCAGTTGCGAAGGCGGGGCCAGGAGTCCCCCCAAAGCAATGACTTCGTGATGGCAGTGTCATGGACACAGAGCAGTTACAGAGGAACTATTCTTCAAGACGGCACTGGGCGACGGTTGGAGACGACATCCACGCGAATGGCCTCATGGCTGGTGCAGGGGGACGAGATGCATGTTGCGCGCATCCAGCTGACGGACACTCCGACAGTCCCGGTGCAAACTGTCGCAGTTCAAATTCTTAATGTAATGCGGGCATGCAAGTTAGTGTTCTTCCTGTTTAAACTTTAAACATGAGTCTGAGTTGTCTGCAGTTGTTGCAGCCATGGATTGATTCCAGTCGGAAAATAAAACGACTCTCGCAGCACCGTGCGGACAGTTGCAGCATGATGCCTTGGATTGACCACGACTCTCTGCAGCTTTCGGAGAGCATCGATGGTAAAGGTCTGCAACACAAATCGGAGCTCACGGCTCAAGACTGCGAGAACTGCGCAATAGTGATGAACCCACCATGTGCGAGAGGGCCGCTGGCCCTGCATTCACGGCCTGAGTGGCAGGCAGGGCATGTTCTTCCGGCTGATAGCAGTATTTGCTTGCACAAGCGGCAGGCAGTGCCTCTCGGAAGAGGCCTGGGACTTGCTTCAAACAAAGTCGCAGTTCTCCTGGCTGAGTCGAGGCCCTCTCCCCTCGCGAAGGTTCGGGCAGAAACCCAAGACGGTCCCATTGAGTCCCTGCTGACACACAGCAGGTTGGCCAAGACGGTCCCACCTTCAATGGCCAGGACTGCAGAGATTTTGCTGAAATGATTTGAATCAACAGCTTTGCGTTTCAGGACCACATCAGGCAACTGGAGACCAGCAGCCCTCGCGGTCGTGGTGCGTGGGTTCCAGAGACGCCGGGGAGGCCTCTGCATCGCCTTGAGGGCAAGCCCGCGCGACAGCGAGGGCAGGAAGATTCTGAATGCGCCGGTCTTCGATGCCAGCAACCCAAAGTCCATCAAGTCCAGACACACGGCCGAGTTTTGCTCACGTCCGTTCGGCGTTCTTGCCTATGCTCCAAGCTCGAGCCTTGATAGAAATTCCGGAACAGGACGACAGTGACGACAGTGCAATGCAGCCCACGTCGCAAAAGAGAAACTGAGGAACGGCAAGGGTGCCATGGTTTGGGAGCTGGGCGAGGACTTCTCATGCCGTCGCACGTGGTCTGTTGTGAGTTGTGAAAGCTGATGATGAGGAGCGGTATCCTGGAGATCCACAAGGTCGAGCCCGAATGGCGGGTGTGGAAGAAGAATTTGTGGCAGCTTGAAGCACCGGCAGATAGACTACAGTGCATCTGCTAGATAAGAAGTGCCAGCTCCCGCGTTGGGCACCGTTCATTTTTTAGCTGGAAGGCATTTTAAGACTTCGGCCTTATCTTGGTGCTATCCGGGCTGACGTAGCCCCTACATTTCTTGTCCGGATTGCACTGTACTTTGCAGAGAGATATAGACGAGAAGTGTCAACCCTTTTCCAAGTTCTCTAGCAATTCAAAAGCAGAAGTTGTATCAGAGGTGTTGCCCTGATCTTTAGCGTGACTAGATGAGATTCCAGCTTACTCCCCCAAGCAGCGCCAGTGCTCCAACACTGTTCCAGCCAGCGTGACCTACTGAGGTCAAGGCAATCAACGGCCAGGATGTGTCCAGCTGGGAGTTTCCTGATATCTTGGATTTACTGGGCGACAAGACCTTGGACAACTCCAGCGGCAAGTTTCAGTCGACCTCCAAAGGCGCAGCCAAGCCAAGCACGCAAGAAAAACATTCACACCGAAGTTCTCAAGAAAAGCCTGGCTGCAGGTGCGATGCAAAATTCTCCTGCAGAGCTGCCCGTTCGGATAGAGCCGCTCGGCTGCCTTGAACAAAAGCAGGCATGTTCTTTATTCCATGTGTGCACGCATGCGCTTTGCTGCTTGTCAACATTGAGAGGTTCGTTCAGATCCAGCTACAGCCCACGGAGCAAGCTCCCATCGCCATGACCCCTGCTTCCCAGATTCCGCGGCCCCAAGCCATCCGTGAGTACCCGCTTCGTTACACTCACGCTGTAGATGATGCTTGTCTCAAGTCCGCACTAGATGCTTTCACAGAGCACGCTGGACAACCAGTGCTTTCTGTAGATGATGCTCTTCAGCTGGTGACTGATGCAGACAAGCTTTTCCGGGCAGAGCAGACATTGCAGAGAGTCGAGGTGAACAGTGTGGTTGTTGTGGGTGACCTTCATGGCCAGTTCTACGATCTATTGCGTATTTTTGAGGAATTGGGTATGCCATCGGAAAAGAACCCGTACCTGTTTAACGGAGACTTCGTAGACAGAGGAGCTCATTCGTTGGAGGTTGTTTTCACATTGCTGCTGCTTAAGATGCGGTATCCAAGCTACATCTACATGAATCGTGGCAACCACGAAGCTGCCGACTTGAACCTGCGTTATGGCTTTGCCGCAGAGATTCGTGATCATTACGGCTTTGATGGCCACAGGCCCGTGCCTCCGAGAAGCTGCTAAGCCTTCCCATCACTCGCCAGTAGACTTGACGATGCTGGTCGATATATATATATATGTATATATGTCGACATTTGTTCTCTTCGTGAATCGGCATGTTTGCATCTCCTAGACTCTAAGCTGGGCTGTGTCACGATCGTAGGCTCTTTGATGCTTTCTCCGAGATGTTTCGATGGATGCCACTGGCGCACGTACTGAACTCCGATGTCTTCGTTGTTCACGGGGGCCTGCCTGGTCCAGATCCTCGGCTGCCCTTCAACGATGCGGGTGGAGGTGGTACAGGTTATGATGCAGTTGGCTTTAGTGGTCGACGCGGCGGTGGCCAGCACCTGTCCTTGCTTGGTTACAATCCGGACAATGTCTCTTTGCCGCCTCGGAAAACCGAACTGACGCTGGAAGACATCGCGAGCTTGCCCCGCGGTGGAGATCCCGCCACGGATTTGAAAAAACTGGCCGAGCTGCCTGAAGATGAGGCCGAGGTGCAGCGCGTGATTGTCGATCTGCTTTGGGCGGATCCACGAGGAAAGACGGGTTACGGTCCGTCCTACAGAGTCCGAAAAGGTTGCTACATATTCGGCCCCAACATTACTACTGCATTCCTAAGAAGAAATGGCCTTCGTCTCATGATCCGGTCGCACGAAGTCAAAGTGGGTGGCTTCGAGTGGACACATCCTGACTGCATCACTGTATTTTCCGCTCCGAATTACCTAGGTCACGCTGGCAACAAAGGTGCAGTAATTAAGCTGGCTCCCGATGAGAGAGGCAGACTGGCTCCATCTTTCGTGACCTACGAGGCCCAAGATGTGTCCGGCGACGTGGGTGCCTTGCAAAAATTCTGCAGTTCAGCTGCCTCCTGACGAGAGACAGACAGACGGACAGACGGACAGACGGACAGACAGACAGAGACAGAGAGACTCCATCTTTTGTGTGGCGCAAGACCTCGCGGATGTCGTAGTGCAATGTGGCTGTAAATTCCCAACATGTACAGTGCAGCATCATTCCCAGTTGTAGAAATTCAGTGTCGCACAAGTGAGAAGTGCTGATTTCTGGACCACCTTGGTAGACTCAAGGTAGACTGAGGTGTAAAAGCCACGTGCAGAGCACTGGTTGAACCATACTGACAGAGTATGCAAAAGCTGGCTTGCTGGTTTGTTCAGGCTGGCCGATTCGGTGGCATGTATGCCGGCTTCCCCAGAGAAAATGCTTCAACTGCACCTTTGAGTCTTTGCATGGCCATTACAAGCAGCGGCCCATCATTCGCCACCATGATGAAGGTAGGACGGCGGGACCCACCTGTTAGAATCACCGAACCCTGCCTAGCAGTATGCAGATGCCAGAGCGATGGCTCAAACGTTGTATCACATTCCTGGACATTTGCAAGTCAACACTCCTCTACTTTAGCTTGAAGGGCTTGAAGACTTGGGTCGTGGAGCCAGCAACAGAAAACAAGAATGCATACGCTGAAGGGACGGAAGATGACGGAAGCTTGCAGCTGGCATTGACCACAGCCGGACGCGAATGCCTTCAGCTGTCTTGCATGGACCTCCAGACTGGCCGTTGCCTTTGTCTCTCGCTTAGCTGGATTCAGGAGACAAATGATGTGAACCCTCTGCAGCCAAGCTAGACTTGACCTTGCTTGTGCGTTATTTCGACACAGCGAAATACTCAGTCTTGGCAAAGGTGGGAAAATGCCACTCTTCCCCGCAGGCACACGCTGCAGGCAGGATGCGCCGACCGTGCAGCGAGATCCAGTTCGTAGTCAGATATGAAAGCTGTATGCCTGCGGAAAGGATCCGCAGAGCCTGTGCGAGTCTTCATTCACGGCACCTCGGAATTTCGTTGTCTGGAGATCATCTCTCTAATTGCTCCCCTTGACTCTGCACGAATTCTTGAGGCTGTGAAGCTGAAGAGGAAGGGTCGCACAGCCGATGGCAGTGCTCTAAGCTTCCCTGTTTGCATGTTTGCTACTGTAGCTTTACTCAAGTCGCGCGAGCGTGTGGTGAGAACATTCATCGGAATGCCTGACACAGAGGCCATTCATGCGATTGCACAGCTCGAAGCCTGGTTGGTAGTGATCAGCACGTCCTAGATCTGCGACTTGCAAGCCGCCTGCAAGCATCATGAATGGAGTTGTGATAAAGTCCCAGGACAAGCCAAAGAAGAAGGCGGATGTTGCAGCTCCTGTCTCAGCTCAGTACCGCACCAACAAGAAAGAGCGTGTCCCTGGTGCTATGCAGATGCTCAGGCTTCTCCCCTGAACCTCTTCGGTAGCAAGGCCTTCTTCGTCGGTTCAACTGATGCTTACCGATAGGAACACGATGCATCTTGAACATAGCTGATTTCACTCTGCAGTTGTCCTTGAATGTCATTCGGCGTGCTCGCTTTGGCTTCTGCAGGAGAAGAAGGGCACAGAGCAGATAGCCAAGGAGCGCTGCAGGGAGAGTTGGCTCTATCTGTGCTTCTGTCGGGTCAGGAGCTCGAGCGTGAGCGACAGCAGGCGGAAAGAGAGAACGCGGACAAGGAGCCCAGGGCTCCAACGATGGCCGCTTTTGAGCTTCGCTGAAGCTTCGCTGACTTCGAGGAGATGGCCACTGCTTTCGGTGAGTTCGAGGGGGCCAAAGAGCACTACGACAAGGATCAGCGCACTTTGCAATAACCAGAGTGTCAGATCCGGGAACCTGCGAGGCAATCTCAGAGGTGAACTCTGCGCCCGGGTTGCAATTTGCATTTCATGTTGGACAGGAGCTGCTGCTATGCAGAAGACATCGGAGGGACATGGGGCTTTGATGTCACGTCTGATAATGGTGAGGCTCAAAGAGACATCAACATGAATGACATGTCGAGGGAAGTCGGTAGGCTCTTAGGACCTCCTGCTGAGAGCTTCCTGCCAATGATACACTAGAGGAAGAGCAAGTATCGGCTTGACATGATGGCCCTATACTGCTAGCTGGCTCGCACAGACTCCCAGGAATCGAAGATAACGATAGCATTCAGCACTGTCACATTCACGGTCGCAGATGCAAAGTCGTAATGGGTTTGGGAGATGGAGCACTTGATGACGAAACATAGCTGTTTGCACTTTGTACCTTGTTGAAGGCCTGGAAAGCCTTCCTCGAGCAGCAGCCGAAGAAGCTTGGATTTCACAATTTTCACATGCCCGCAGCTGCTTCAAGAAGTGCGTTGGCTGCCGCCGGCCCCCGACGCTGTCTCAGGTATGAGACATCCTTCTGGCTGCTAAAGGTGGGCTGAATCACATGTCATTGGCGAGTCTCAAGGTCCTTTCGGTGAGCTGCGCCCAGGCCATGCATGACTCTGAGTGCAGAAAGCTCATGGAGGACCACAACGGAGCCGGAGCCTCGGCTACCAGCGACACAGAGAAGATTCTGCGGCGAAGCCCGACTCGAGCCGCCGACTGTCTGCTCTTTTTTTGCACATGCTGTACATCTGTTGCAAAGGTGGCCCTTCTGTGCACTGCACCCTCTTCCACGATCATTCATCGTGAGCTCCTGGTAGCATGATACATGCATTTAGCATGACAACCGATACTACGGTAGCTGGCTTTTCGCGGCGTAGTCTTCCGCCAGAGTACACAGAACTGAGTGTGGTCTCCTGCAGTCAAGCCTAAAGGGCGGAGCAACAAAGCACTGAGGCCATGGCGGACTGCCACAAGAACTGGCTGACTGCCCGAGAGGAGACACTTTTCGGCAAAGCAGTAGCTATGCAGCAAAGCGAACAGCCTAAAAGCACTTGACGGCCTGGCTTGAATGTTTGTTGCAGAACATCACCATGGACAAGTCACAAGTGCAGAAGCCAAGATAGATGTGTACTCGGCTGTTTGCACCCGAAGATCGGCCTGGCAAGCAATTGATTGGCTCATGCGCTTGTGTCTCCATGGCCGTGTTCCGCTATCCAAGGTACTTTGCGCGTGCTCGAGTTCCTCAGTGTGTCCAGGGCGAAGAACCCGCCTTTGAGTTTCAGGTCAGGCTTCGGGAACGAAGGCTCTCTGCTATCTGACCCTTTCACATGTCATGTGCAGGTTTCACCGCTTCTCTCTGCCACTGCCCCGTTCCTTTTGTGTTGAGATTCTTCTCTGTGCGCGAACGCCAACGCGAACACGACATTCCCCCACGAGGTTCTGGCTCCACTTCTCTTCTCAGCAGGACATGCTCCAAAAGTGCCTAACTTCTATCATGGACGAACCGTGATCTTCCACTCAGGAGCACAGGAGAAGAGCAGCAGGCTCACACACTTCTTGTGAAGTGCCGTGAAGACATTTAGCCTGCGCTGGGATCGTGATCCAAGCCTCATAACCGCGAACCTACTTGTACAGTCACGTGCGCTGGCTTTGGCTTCGTTCAGCACTGCTCTGTCTCCTGGGGCGTACCCCTGCGTTAACGAATCAATGGCAGAGTCCAAAAGAAAGTGTGAAGAGGCAGTGTGCCTCGAGTCAGCAGCACCATGCCGAAGGCTCCGATGTCAACTGCTTGCTCTGTGGCCGCTGCTTCGGCTCGAGACTTGTCCGTCTGGGTATCTGGCACTGAGGACCTTCAAAACGATGTTTTGCGGGAGGCGCAGGAAACAGTTCCAGCATCTGCCACCGGAGGACCTGTTGGCAATGGGGGCCACAGGATCCTGCTGCTCTTGTGAAGACGACTTGCCCGAAGCTTAGACACACTCCAAGATTTACAGTGCTCCATGTTTGCATGCGCAATCTCTGCAGCGCCTCGCTGTCCCGACCGTTCTGCGTGGGATTCTGTGCGGGCATGCGAAGTGCGTGAATTCAGAGTGACGATGCTCCTGTCATCCACCTCTGTGCCGGTGATCGATACATTTGACACAAGGCAAGGGTCTGACGACTCCAGGAGGCCGTTTGGCCACGCTGGCTCTGTGTCGTCTTTTACATGTGTGCCAGCTCCGTACCTGCGCAGGCCTGGTAGACAGACCCGAAAAAGGCACTCGCTGATTTCCGATGCTTTGTCAATAACTGAAAGCGACCGTGGCAGGTCTCCAACCGAGTTCACCATCGTTATCGATAGGAGGCCGGGCCGAACCAGAACAGCTTAAAGCGAGCTGACACTACTGCAGATCTTTCGGTGATTTCTGCCAGCAGCTGCTTGATTCGAGTCCGTACCTGTAGAAACCTCACTCACATGAACAGGACGGGTGATAGCTTGGGCATCGATGCCGCTCCCGAGAAGGTACGATCACAGTCGACTGGACAAGGATGGCAGTCATTCTCACTGTGCAACTTCATCTCAGGTTGGCACGCTTGAAATAAAAAGCGTCACTCCAGGAGGCTTGGTAGACAGGCCTGACCAGCTCGCAGCTGGCAATGTGCACAGAAAGTCTTGCCTTCCTACATCTCCCTATCGACATGTCAGGTGGAATCAGGCCCAACCGCCTGGATCCAGAGAGGTCGTGAAGCCAGGCATGCGAGTCGTAGAGGCCATGCTGTGCAGCTGCCGTTTAAGCTGCTTGGGGAGTCCAAGGTCCATTTTTCCAAGGCAAGAACACATCACATAGCGACACTACGGTACGTCTTTCGGAACATATCGACGAAACACTTGGAGCCGGAGCCGTGCATCTTGTATCCTTGACACCTCACGGACACAATGGTAATGACAGAGCTTGTTTGATTTAACCTCATTCTGCCCAAGTTCAAACCAGTTCTGGGCTGAGGAGAGATGGCAACGGACTCCTGTCATCAATTGTCTGAAAGGTTTGAATGTAGACTGCCCATGTAGCTGAATCCGCTTCGACCTGACCGCCTTGCTCAAAGGCGCCATCCTCCCCGCAGTGCTGCATGCAATGTCTTGCAGGTGAATGGTCGCTTCAACAGTGCTGTTGGAATTATTGCAGCCTGCCGCGAGGCAGAGGCAAGGGCCTTGCATGACTTGGCACCAATTACAAGCTTCTTGGCATCATGTTCGCCTGCAGGTGCTTCATATGTCCCTGGAGCCATGACCGGTTCGTGTCGCATCTGTTTCACAGCGTCTACAACCGCCCGCCGCAGAGCCGTGACCGTGTGAACAACATGGAGAGCTCGACGCGCCCAGGACGCGCCCACGCAGCACCGCACAGAGCTTTCCTCCTACGAGGGATACTTCCCCACATTGCAGCCGAATCAATAAACACCCAGGTTGTTTGGGCACGGATGCTTCGCTGCTTCAAAGAAGGCGGCAGTCAGTATGTGAGCATTCCGCTTCAATTCAGTCTCCGAAGGATGCGGCATGCGATGCAAAACACTCAGGCTAGTTGGGTCTTTTAGGTTTGACGAAAAGTAGCATCGAACTTGTGCTGGTACTGTATTTCGTGTCAGACCAATGTCCGTGGTTGACCATGCATGCGACCAGGGTGTGGCGACACGCGTAGAAATGGGGCTCATCTCATCCTTTTAGTCCTCGCAACTTTCGTTTGTAAAACGTCAGGCTCATTCTCTAGGGTATTCCAAGTCGTCGGCTGTTTGATCATGATGTTAAGAACGTTCGTTTGAATTTATTTGTGGCAGATGTTCGGTGACAGGATCATTTTCCTTTGGATGGCGTGTCTTGCTTGAGTTTTGCTGCAACCCTACCCACGCGCAGTTCCACCACAGAGTCTGGCCAATATTCGTTGATGATAAGCAAAAACCTCGATTTGCCTCCGTGGCATAGCACCAAAAACTCTGCTATTTCCCTGGCACCAGATGCGACTGCTTGTTGCCTTTTCCGCCGTGACTAGCGAGCTCCGTAGAGAGCCCAACACCGCGTCAACGCAGCGCGCCGGCTGGAGCCATGGCGACGCTTGGCTTTTCTGAGAAAGTCCATACATGTCCATAATTCATACATCCAACTCTTTTCATGGGCTCACTGACATGAGGCCTTTGCTTTTCCGACTGCTGCTGGTGCTTCTCGTGGCTGGAACCGATGGCCTTCGAAAGCACCACCGGAGGTGGGACATCAACTGCGTCTTGTGCGAGACGCAATGTTGTTCCTAGCCTCGTGCGCTCGGGCTCAACGCACGAACTTGAGGGCACGCTCTAATAGAGTCTTGGTCAGGTTGATAGTTGAAATCTAGTAATCCTTTTAAAAATTCACGTAGCCTGGGTATGAGATCCTTGCAGTGTACTGCCAATGACCCATCACGCATTGGCCAGGTCTTGGTTGCCATGAATATGCAGGAAAGGGCTTCACGAGCGCACGCAAAAAGGCAATTAATTCGAGCATCCAGACTGACATGTGCTCGAACTCTCGCTCCTTAACTCTCATGCCGTCACTGACAGCAAAGAAGTTCAATTCAAATTCATAGTATCGGGAAGTATCAGCAGCGAGTGTATGTCATGTACAGCTTCAGTTGAAGAGCGTGCTCTTCACCGCATGTACCGTGGTGTCCCGCCCCACCCAACCCACCCCGCCCTACCCCAACCCTGTTGCTTCCTGGCTGCGCTGTTGCCGCCTGGCATGCGCCCTACCTTTTACGGGCCAGTTCACTCCTGCTTCGTTCATGTGTCGGAGGGATTGCTGGTAATTACACAGATCCAGAAGAGGCATGGCCACAAGCGCGTGCAAGTGGCCAACACACCGGAGGCAGAGACCGTCAAGGCAGTGCCTTCCTTAAGAAGTGCTCCGCAAGCGCAGGCCGTGCTGTCCGATGAGAGCTTGATGGCAGAAGAGCGAATGGCTGAACAACTTGTCAAGGAAGCAGAGGCCGGCGAAGCTTCGCATTGTGACTTCCAGAGCCTGCTGAGCCCTGACAGGAAAAGGTTGACAACGAGCTGGCAGCCAGCGCCACCAAGGACAAATAAAAGTAGTGAGAACAACGACAGGCTAATGTCGCAAGTTCTGCCGCGACAGCAGGGCCGTCGTGGTAGAAATAGCACTGGTGGTGGTAGCATTAGTAGTGGTAGTGGTAGTGGTGGTAGTGGAAGTGGTGGTAGTAGTAGTAGTGGTAGTAGTAGTAGTAGTAGTAGTAGTAGTAGTGCTCGTGCTCGTGCTCGTGCTCGTGCTCGTGCTCGTGCTCGTGCTCGTGCTCGTGCTCGTGCTCGTGCTCGTGGTGGTGGTGGTGGTTGTGGTAGCGGCGCAGCAGCAGCAGGCGTTGAGTGCACAGCATTCGTAACCCTCTCGCTTGCAGGACCCTGCTGTCAAAGAGCACAAAGACAGCGGTGCCGAAAGCAAGGTTGAAAAGACAGCTGAAAATAAGCCCGAAAGTAAAGCAGACGGCAAAACGGACCCGGCACCAAAGTCGAAGCCGGAAGCCGACGATGTGAAGTCCAAGAAGCAGAACGAGAAGAAGGACTCGTTTTCCGTCATTCTGTTGAGCATTTGCTTCCCTGCGAGCCAGTTGGCCAATCTGATGTAATTTCACGAAGGAGGACGCGGACAAGGATGATGATGATGATGAGGAGGCATCAAGATATTGCTACCAAAGACTCATGTCTAACAGCTTTCAGTCGAGCCAACAGAAGCCGTGCATGCCGTACATATCTTCGTCTTTGATGATTCCTGGTGGATTCGGTGCAGGACGATGTGGAGGAAACCCGCCACTCCACAGAGTGTAGCCGTGCACCTCTCACTTTGAGTTTTTGCTCCACTACAGAACAAAGTCGGCTGTGTTGTTGAAGGAGACTGCGGCTCCAGAGAAGAAGGACAACGACAAAAGCAAAAGCGGAACCTCGGCGCCAGAGGACTGCAAGCTTGGGTTGCAATGCTGAATGCAGGAACAAGCCGATGAATGCCTTACAATCTGCAAACTCCTCGGCAACTGCTTTTTGATACTGTTAGTTTTGAGCAGAGTCGTCGAGACTGCCAGGAGACTAAAGCCAAATCGGTCAAGTCTGGATGTCGCGAATCGACGCTGGCTCCTTTGCTCCTCCTGTCCTTAGCGTACACGAAGCTTTTCTGAGGGCAGCACATGCAGAGGATTCCCAGCGAGACAAAAATAGATCAGTGTGTTGAGAAAGTGCAGGGCGAATGTTGGAATGGCGCTGGAAGCCACATGTTGTCTTGGAGCTGCACGGAGTTGCTCTGCATGCTGCGTTTGTTTTCAAGAACTTCTCGGACGACAAAACAGCAAATCGATTGCAATAGTCAGTCCAGACTAGCATACCATGCCTGTGACAGTGAAGCAGCTTTCCATGACTTGGAAGCGGAAACTCCACACTCCGGTCGCCAGTGTCTTACGGAGCAATTCGTTTTGCTCGACTCGGTCGGATTTTCGCCATGGTGCGCGGCTCTGCAAGGCGCCGCCAGCCAGTCGCAGTCATTGCAGCTGTCTGGTCCT